CCTCAAAATCAACGCCTAGCAGGAAGTTCCGTTACACCCAAAACAGTCATTTTACTGTTGATACTCTTTGGAAGAAGTGAAACAGAAAAGTTCTGCATCAGTGCTTGACTCTGAAATAGATTATTCTGCCTTTAACTATAAGTGTGCGTCCTGTTCCTCTTCACCATTCTAATAATACTTTGTACAGCTGTTGTTGACATCCTGATTCCTGCAGGACGAGAGGAACCAAGTGCTGACGGCCTACCTGTGGATCCGCCAGATCTGGCACGACGCCTACCTGAAGTGGAACAAAGACGACTACGACGGACTAGAGGTCATCCGCATCCCCAGCAACCTGGTCTGGAGGCCTGACATCGTCCTTTACAATAAGTACAGTTCTCTCATAGGCGCGGGCCTTTTCTTAAAGTGACCCTACAGACCAAATATCACTTCATCTTCCTTCCTTTCTTCTTCAGGGCTGACGATGACTCCTCTGGACCCGCCGACACCAACGTGGTCCTCCGCTACAACGGCGAGATCACCTGGGACTCCCCGGCCATCACCAAGAGCTCTTGTGTGGTGGACGTGTCCTACTTCCCGTTTGACTATCAGCACTGCAACCTCACTTTCGGTTCCTGGACGTACAACGGCAACCAGGTTGACGTCGCCATGGGCATGGACAGTGGCGACCTGTCCGACTATGTGGAGAACGTGGAGTGGGAGTGCCAGGGCATGCCGGCCGTCAAGAACGTCATCATGTACGGCTGCTGCTCCGATCCCTACCCCGACATCACCTACACGCTGCACCTCAAACGCCGCTACTCCTTCTACATCTACAACCTGCTCCTCCCCTGCCTCATGATCTCCTTCTTGGCTCCACTCGGCTTCTACCTGCCCGCCGACTCTGGGGAGAAGGTGTCCCTGGGGGTCACCGTGCTGCTGGCTCTCACCGTCTTCCAGCTCATGGTGGCTGAGAGCATGCCTCCTTCAGACAGCGTCCCTCTCATTGGTAAATACATGCAAGCTGTGTTCATCCTGTTCATATTACCCACAAAGCTCTGTTTCTTTACATCCCCATGTCCAAACTTTGAGGCCAGTGTTTCCCAATCCGGTCCTTGGGGACCGGCAGACAGTCCAAAAATGTGCACTGTGAGCTGGGAGGGAGCAAAAACATGGACTGTCTGTGGATCCCCAAGGACTGGATTGGGAAACGCTGCTTTATGCTGTATTGTCACCCTGTGCAAAAGTCAGTCAAAGAAAATGATAAAGTAAATCATATTACTTTAAAACTATGATATTATGTCTGTCAAAGTGCATCAGCTTAGACATTTCAAAACCTCTACTGAAGTCCCCCCCAGTATTTGCAGCAACCATCGAATAATTTTTTTGTATTTTTTGACTTGATCACTAGCACATCTTTGGCTAAACCAGGGGTCACCAACCTTTTTGAAACTGAGAGCTACTTCACGGGTACTGAGCCATACGAAGGGCTGCCAGTTTGATACACTCTTCTTAAATAACAAATTTGCTCAGTTTACCTTTAGTTATATATATGCTTTTTTTTTATTTATTTTTTTTTAGATATTTTCATTTTCAAATCTCTATAAATGCAAATGTGATTAAAGAAGAATAGCAACAGGATAAAATTAAATTTTAGACGCTGCTCGCTGGTGAGTTGTGCTATTTTTAGAACAGGTCCGCGGGCGACTCATGTGGCCCTTAGGGGCGTCCTGGTGCCCGTGGGCACCATGTTGGTGACCCCTGAGCTAAACAGTACCTCATCAAGTTATTTGACTAATTAAGAGAATTAATTAAGTGCTCTTCCAGCCATCCAACAAGATATTAATAACTTTTTGAAAAACAGAAGAAATTCTTGTTAGTTTTTAATTGTGTTACTCTTAATTTGCATAAGTTCTAATGTTAAATTGTCATGTTTCTTCTGTGCTAATGTACCCTCACTGCCCAGATAAATAGCTTTAATCATGTTCTTTGACTGCCTAAGAATTTTGCACTGTACTGTAGTGACATTGTGTTGAATGTTCTCACCTATCCTAGGTAAGTACTACATAGCAACTATGACCATGATCACAGCTTCCACGGCCCTCACCATCTTCATCATGAACATCCACTTCTGCGGTGCAGAAGCCAAGCCCGTCCCTTACTGGGCCAAGGTACTCATCATCGACTACATGTCCAAGATCTTCTTCGTGTATGAGGTGGGTGAGAGCTGTGGCAAGCCACAGAGCGAGAGCAGTCCCTTCCATCTGGACGAGCCACTGGTCAACGGGGAGCTGGAGATTCAGCGTCACCGTGGCAACAGGCGCTACCATCACCAGAGCAACAGCGAGATGAAAGGGCGCCATTCTTCACGGGCCCCCAAGACATGCCACTATAACGGACGCGAGGAATATCAGCAGAATGGCGGCGTCAGCGCCGGTGCGTCTGAGAAGCTTCACTGCCCAGAGAAGATCATCTCCTACACCTGCACCTGTACCCACCACGACCGAATCATGAGGAACATCGAGTACATCACCAGCTGCTTTAGAGAGCAGAGGGCCAACTGTATCAAAGGCGCCGAGTGGAAGAAGGTGGCCAAGGTCATGGACAGATTCTTCATGTGGATCTTCTTCATCATGGTGTTTCTGATGAGCATCCTAATTATCAGCAAAGCCAATTAACCCCAGGCCTTGAGCCCTTCGTCTTTCACTGTGTCTGTATTACAACACAATTTGAACATTTGAAGTTAGGATAATGCAATATGAAACAGATTATCTATCTCTAAAGCAATAAACTGCCTAAGGTCATAGATGTAATAAAGATATTTTTCACACACTTGGAGCTGCTCCTGATGATGACAAGGCTGGCTTAACTCCCATGTTTTTTGTTATTTTTTGTTATTTTCGACATCGTTAATATTGACACTGTTGTATGTTTGGTCATCATGCTGGTGTTCATCCTAATGCCAGTCTCCTCCTTGATGCCGGGGCTCATCCTGGTGTCATGATTCAACTTGATGCCATGGAAAATACAGCGCAGGGCAATAGGTCAAGCCTTAAATCCGGTTTCTTTGTAACACCCATTGCTAAATCCAGTTTAATGAAGACACCCTTCACTGAATCTGGTTTGCTAATGACATCTTTCGCTGAGCACGGTTTAATAATGACTCCCTTGGCTGAATCCAGTTTGCTAATCACAAGTTTTGCTGAATACAATTTAATAATGACACCCTTTGCTGAGTCTGGTTTGCAAACAGCAGCCTTTCCTGAATCTGCTGAATCCTTTCGTTGAATACAGTTTATGAAGGGCACCCTTTGCTGAATCTGGTTTGTTCCACGTCGACATTAACACGAAGTCATTAAATTATTAAACCTGTTTGTTGTGACAGTAGAACACATAACAAGAGAAACAAGTGACATTCTGTCACCATATATTGATTGGCATCGATATCATATTTCATAGTACAATTCCTGTCTGATTTCATACGTATGACTTTGCTGAGTCTCAGATTTAATTAATGTCTGTGTTGAACATGCTCTGCGTGCTGGTTTTGAAGGGGAGTCACCCAAGCGATTAGCTCTGTGCAGGTAAATGGATCATCAGCTGTCATGAGGTGGGTATCGGGCTCGGCCACAGGAAATAGGACGCTGGCCTGGTCCTGCGGTGGCAAATCCGACCCTGCTCTGAGCTCAGAATATGGCCTGCGAATTATTAATGGGCAGCTTCTTTTCAGATGTGTGTAAGATGTAAGACGATCCACACATGGTGGGGATGTGCATCCATAATGCATCATGATGCTTTTGGCCGTGACTCATCTGATGGATTCTCACTGGTCTGTACTGGGAGGAGAGGTGTTGCATTATCAACATTCATTAGTCTTCAGTAAACATTACAAGATCCGATAGTCCTAGTTCTTTTCGTAAGTCGGCCAACTGTATTTCGACTGACTTACAGACCGTGGACGAGAGCAAGTTCATCTAGGCATTTGTGTAGTGCTGTTCATTTTCCAGTGTAGTAAGATGTGTCGTTATTATGTTTGTTCCTGGAATTGGCAGATAATTGTTACTCTTAACAAAAGATGACACACGCTGGATGAAAGGTTGGTGTGACTCAACAAGCTCATGCATCCATGCTTGTTGGTTGGATGCCCGCCTTGTCACAATCAACGTGTTCACGTTTCACAAGGAAATGCAAAAAGAGAGCATGACGGTGAAAAAAAACGTGCCGAAGGCAGGCCTCATTCATTGTAGCTACAGTACCTGTAAGTAAAATCAATAATCAATAATCAATGATGAACATGATGAACAAAGAGTAGATGGAATGTCATGAAAGTTAAAGAGGTAGGGTGTTGGGTAACAGCAATGCACCCCTCCAGGGTTGGGGTTCAGATCCCACCTCTACTGTGCATATGGGACTTGTGCCATGACCCAGCTCAAGGCCACAACAAAAAGTGGACCATCATGCTAATTAATTATAAAGCAGCCTTTATTTAATAAGCTAAGGGTTAAAAACAACAGACAACAAGTGAGGATGTCAATGTGAGAGCAAGGTGTTGAATGGGTGGAAATGGTATGCGTGTAGTTAAAGGCAAAACAAAAACCAGAGACACTAATGTAAAGTCTTTGCCCAAAAATAATCTACCAACTAAACAATTGCATGGGGCAAGGAGAAAGAGCAGTGGGAAAAGAGAGATCAACGGACACCGTCTCCAAGGCTAATGACGCCTCCTCCCCATTGGTACTCAATCAAGCAACAATCAGCCAATGAGTAAGCTGCGTGAAAGAGAACACAAAAGTAAAGTACTAAAGACAGAGGTGAAAGTTAAGGTCCAGAAAGTACAAATCCAGACCGTGTTTTTGTTTCAACCAACCAGCTGAATATTGTTAAAGTCATAGTACTCTACTGGCTGCTTGGAACAAAACGTTGGGCTGGATTTGTGCTGCCAGTAGGAGGTGTCAGGTGACACTGACCATGATAAGCAGTAAGAAGGTGGCTAAAGGTCAAGAAAATGGACACGAGACGCATTCACACTGTTTCTGAAAATGCTTTATTATCTACTTAGCACTATAAATACAGTCCTGGAAAACAGACTTTAAAAAAATGGCATTAATAGAAAACAGTCGAAGGCCCAGGAGGTTAAAGCACGTTTTGGCAATAAGGCACTCTAAATCTGTCGCAGACTTTGTTGTTTAAAACTCGGCGTCCGTTTATGTGGCTAGGAGTGTCCGTCTCTAGCTGAAATACCAGCCTCGTAGTGTCAGTGAAATGATTGATTAGCCAGGAGGCAGGTATCACAAAAGATGCTCGCTAGCCCCGCCCCCTGGGACAGTGTTCCCTTTAAATGGACCAATCACTTCCATTCTATTGCAGTACTGTCACTGCACGTTGGACACATGGGCAAACATTTCGGATACTTTGTGTCAGTACAGTGCTTTGGCAAAATGACCCCTGTTGAGGTTGTGTTTTTGAAAAAGAAATTTACCGATTTATAACCACATCCATATTTCTTACAATATATTATTCTAATTCTCATTTTTAAGCTCAATAAACAATTCATCTCACATATATTAAAAATATGCTCTTTGTCTTTAAATCAAGAAGATGAAAATGTACTGAGCAGTTATATCATTGCAAACACCACAGGAGAAGCCTTTAAACAGGCCATAAAACCAACACTGCAAGTCCTACACTGTCAGAGTGTTATTTGTCCGACGGCATGAATAAAAGTACATTAAAGCTGGCCCATGGAAGTCAGGGTGGGCCACAAAAACATGTTGTCACCAAGGTCACGCTGTTGTAGTTATGTGACAGGAAAGCCACCTTCCCCTCCCACCCCGAGTAAAAGTAAAAGTATCGGGGCATTTACCATAACCTTTTTCAAACCGCTTCAAAAACAGAGTTTTCGCAACCAAAGCTGACATCCGTCATGCCTTCCACTTGTCGAAAACACAATTCCCGGCTTTGCTGGGTAACTCCTCCCACTGAAATGTCCCTCATTGCTAGCCGTCCAGCCACCCCACAGTTCTCAGCGGCCCTGTTTACGAACAGGCCCTGCATCGTGACGGCGAACCCTGTGAGAGGACTGACAGTGAACTATGAAAGAGCTGTCTGCAAAGAGGAAGAGAAGTGGCAGGTAGCAATTAGTTTTATTTGGGGGAGGGGGGTATGTACTACTGATAACATATAGTATGTTGATCCCAGGGCGAAATTCTTGAAAACGGGCTCGTCGGAGATTTGAGGCCAGAAAAACTAAATAAAAATCATATGCCCTACACCAGCAAGCCTTGACTTGAGCGGAAGAACATGGTCACACACACTCAGATAATAAACCTATCATCCAAAAAACAGTGAATCCCCGTCACTGCGACAAGTAGCATACAGGTCAAGTGCCAAGTGCCCCCTGGCCAATCACAGCGCAGCGCTATGCAGACACAGCTGCGTCAAGGCCTCGCAGCCAAGCAAATGCAGACGGCTGGGGCGGCAGCCTGCGGGTTTAAACCCAGGGGTAGAGTCTTGGCTCAGGTGGAGACCAAGCAGTCAGCCCCTCCCACGGAGTGAGGACGTGACCTGCAGTGTTATTCTAGGTTAATTTTGTAATCCAGCAACAGGATTTCTGAAAAAAGAACAAACTGTATATACAATTTTTCCGTAGCCTAAAACAAATAAAGAAAAGCAGATAAAGTGGTCGTATTGCTCAGCTCAGTTCAGTCTTGTAACGGCACAACTTGTGCAAAAAAGTATCATTTAGTGGTTACAGCATTAATCTTTTTCTGTGCACTTGATGGGAAGCTCGCATATCCGTTCACTGGTGGTCTGAGTTGGTAATGTGGGAGACCAAGGTCAGATCCCTCCCAGCAATCCCGGAAAACACCATGCGTAAACACGACTTGGGCAGGGGGGGGGGGATCAGAGCAGGCACGGAGTAGCACAGGAAGAATCCCACAGTATGAGCTCACTTGTATAACCTGCCAAAAGACGAGTTTAAACCATGATTGAAAGATTTGACCTGCCTGATCTTTTCTCTTCAAGAAACTGTTTTCACAAATTATTTTTGAAAGGAACACAAGACTTAATGAATTTGCGGTCCTTCTTGCAGAAGAAGTAGAGTTCTCTGACCAGGTCCAGGTACTTCCCATTGGCCTTTGCCTGTGATTGGATTGTGTTTTACTGTATGCGGCTTGCGCTACATTTGTAATATTATTAGAAAAAAAATAGCTAGCACTTTTATTATCCTTTTTGTATTTCACAAGTCTAGAACTGATGTTTTAGATGAAATATTACAAGCAAGTAATGGGCCAGCCTCAACCAGGAGCGTACCAGTGTAAAACCTTCATACCACAGGATTAACAAATAACTCAAAAACTGCTATATTATTCCACTAAAATAACAACAGATAGTATAACAATACAGACATCCCCAGGAATGTCGGCAAATGTACAAAAACAGCATATGGACAGAAGACACCCAAACATAACACATACAGTATCTCTAACAGGATATTTTACGTTTACCTATGCTAAAAACTAAACATCATAAAACAGCTAATTAGAAAAGAACCTGAAATCCCCTGTGCTTTTCTTCTCTTTATTTTTCTTTCTCTTTCTTTCTTTCTTTCTTTCTTTCTTCTGAGAGGCTTTGCTTTGTTGTCCTGTTGTCATTTTCATTTTTGCTATACATGCGCTTAATCCTCTACCAGTAATACTGGTCTGTCGCAGACGCAAATGGCCTCGCTGGGACACACGTGTGATGGAATGTTCCGGAGGAATCAGTGCTTTGGAAATACCAAACGGCTCCTTCAGTGTTCTGGCGACTCCTTCAGTAGGGTTGGTAGATGTCGTGGACGGGCACCGGGAAGGCCCCAGCTGGAAAGGGCTGTGGTATGTACCCGGTGTAACTGGCATAGCTGGTCGCAGCCATGCCCGCGTTCTTCTGCAGGGTGGCCAGAGCAGCGGTGGGCGTGGCGATGGGCACGTAGCTAGCCCCGTACAGGCCAGCGGCAGCAGGGAGGCGCTGCACGCCGTGCGCCACAGCGTACACCGGGGTGAGCGGGCGGCCCTGCGACAGGGAACAGGAACAGCGAATGAGAAGCTGAACCTCATTAAGTATCAGCCAATTGGAAAAGGTCCTTCGGTCAATCTGGTTTTAAGAGTGCGACAAGTTACCTGGAAAGGGGGAGGGGTGGAAACAGCAGGCATGACGGCTGACGCCCCAGGGGGGGCCGTGTGGTCGGGCTGCATGGGGAGGGGGCTGATGAGATGGTCCAGGGCATGCAGCTTTCCGTCCTCCATGAGCTTAGCAGCAGGGCTGGCGGAGAACATGGGGTACTGTGCTCCCAAGGCAGGCAGAGGCACTGCAAGAGAGAGAGAACAACCCAGGGTGGCTGTGAGTCCACAGGTGTCCACTAGGGGGCGCACTGGCCCCACACACACACACACACACACACACGCACACACACACACACACACACACACACACACGCACAGCCACATGCAATGTGTAGCCAAATGACTGGCATTAATTTATCTACCACATAATATGAATAAACTGATTTTTGCTTTTAGGTTATTTTTTTAATGGAGGCAACATTCTTTTTAGTATATCTGGACTATGACTTGAAAATTGCCATGTTTGGACATCTAATACTATCGCTCAGCTAAATAATTCAGAAAATAAGTATCAGACACTGTGTGATTCAAAATTTTATATCCATGACATTTTTATAATGAATTCATAATCATTTTTGAAAGAAAATTATAGCAATATACTTAATGCCAAACATATTTATATTCATTTTTGTTTTTATTTCTACGTATTGAAACGTAAAAAAAAATGTAATGGTGAATCGTAATGTCAGCAAATGACTTATAGGAGCTGCGTCTTATAAAATCTTATATGACTCATAATGTGGGTATATGACACCAGTAAGTTGGCTACACCTAGAGTAGGGACAGCCCCAGGTGTGGTTTTTGTAGATTCCGTCATGGGGCGTGCAAAATTTGCTTCCTTTAATAAGCAGAGTGCCCCACCCCAGGCTGGTCCGGCACCCACGTCTCTCCCTTCAGGGGAAGTTGCGCAAGGTGAGGAAAAACGAGAGGCCCTGCGAGTGGAACGCGGCAAGCGTGAAATCCGGCTGTGTGGCCTGTGGAGACGAGCTCCGAGTCAGGCGGCATCGTGGATCAGCGGCTTCAGAAACAGCCGTCTCATTGGCCGAAGGCTAGCAAGAAGGTGATGGAAGCCTTGTGGGGTTAATTCTCAAGCAATCACAGTGCGTTATACCAGCAGGGCAGAGTAAGTAGAGAAAAAAATATATCGGCAGAGGACAGAGGCAGCGCAGCAAAGAAATGACCCGACCACCAGAGGGGGTAGTTTCAGGGGATTTTGGGGGGGGTGAGCATCCTCACAGTGACTTGAGCCAGGCTTGATGCCCGCTGGGTTGACTGTGGCCAGCTCCAGGCTGGGGACCAACTCATAGGTCTTGTCCTGCTGCTTGGCTTTACCCTCATGGTATCTGCTGTAGATGCCACGGCCAGCTGAGTACCCCCCCAGGTAGGAGCCCCGGGGCCCGGGGCCCCTACTCCCGGTGGCTGCACGCCCTCGGTCCCTTACAGTACCTGCTTGAGATATAAATGAGAGAGGCTCAGGTAGGGGGGCGGTGTGTCATGGGCCTCTGTCTGGGGTGACAGAAACACACGCTTGACAGGAATCTAACCGACAGAGCTCAAGGTTCTGGGTGACAGCTGGTCTTGGATTTCTGGTTTGAATTTGGCTTTACAAATGAGCCTAAGAAAAGGTATTTTAGCAGTTGCTCCTTGAATGTGTGTTGAATGTATATGCATTTTTGTGGGCGGTGTGTAGATAACAGCTTCCTGTCCACTGTTGCTGGATCTTTTCTCCAGCACGGCTCTTATTTCATCTGATCTCAGGTCTGTGAAGGTGAGTAGTGGTGCTTCTGGGTGCCCTTGGCCGCGGCGGAGCAATCGCATCCCCATGAAACTCGAGACTGAGCTGGCGGAAGGCAGTCAGTCTGGGTGCTGCGGCGACCTACGAGAAGGTCAGGCCGGGCTTTCTGTCTGCTCGCAGGATGGCCCGAGACATAGCGTGCTGCCCAGTCTAAATATAGACGCCTTCTGCAGAACCAGTCGTTCTGTGGAAGCCTGTTGTCTGAGGCAGTGTCCTCACTGATATGCGCATTGGGAACTCCGCTGTTCCGTCTAAACTCAAGAAACGATGGGAGACGAGCAAGACCGGCCCTATTTGTAGACTGCCCATGTCTCGTAGCAACAGGGGCAGTAGAAGCAGCGCCGATTTTGTCCGATACCCAGGGGTTTCCTGTCTGTCCTTTGAGCTGTGCCATATAGGTGTCCCCGTGTAACTCCCCAATCACCAGCGTTAAAGAGGGTGGGGCTTGATGGAAGGATGAGAAACAGAGCAGACAGAGAGTCGACGGGACATTTCATTATCACAAGAAGGCGGTATCATCCAAGGAGCAAAGCGTCACACAGTATGGAATAGAATGTTCAAGCTACCGGGAGAGTGTTTAGTCAATCAAGCCAAATTTTACGAAAGGAGAATGCCACAAAATCAATAAATGTAGGAAGATCTTATTCTGCCACCCAGAACATTGAGAATCAAAATAATAAAGTAACTCGACAATCAGATGGAAAAGAGTACCTTTGGCATCGGATTGGCGATTCAAGAAATTCATTAGCGTGATTTCATAACCAATTAACGTATATAACGATGTGATCAGAATTATCGGAATTAATGTCCAGCAAGGGAATAAAGGAACCACAGATCAGAGCTATGGCGTCACAATAACATCCACAGATAGCAAAGCAGAGCAAATGAAGTCTAACCTTTGATGAAGTAGTCTCGGTTGGGTCCTATCAGTGTGTTGTAGGGGTATCCGTAGTAGGCGAGAGCATAGGGGTCACACTGGTAAATGTAATTAGGCTGAGAGTTCTCTGGAGCCGGGGCACCCTTGGAAGCTTTCTGGTAGCGTGTGTACTGCTCCTTGTCCACAGGCTTGGCCAGGGTCACCTCTATGCAGGAGCCCTCTATGTCGGAGCCGTTGAGCTTGTCCATGGCCAAGACGGCGTCTTCGCGGCTGGCGAAGTGCACAAAGGCGTAGTCACGGATCTTCTTGACGCGCTCCACGCATCCTGGGTTGAACTTGCTGAAGATCTTGCGCAGCGTCTCCTCGGACGTCTCGATCATGAGGTTGCGCACGTACAGGATCTTGACGGTCTCCATGACATCCTCGTCCACGTCGATCTCCGGCTCGGCCCAGTCGACGGCGATCTGGTGGCCCCACAGCTGGATCCGGCCGGGCATGAGTTTTCGGCGGGCCATGGCAGCCGCCCGGTGACTCTCGTACTCCACGAAGGCGAACCCGCGGTTCTTCATCTTGTCGGCGGCGCTGGCGTACACGATGACATCCAGCACACCCTCGGTCACCTTGGAGACCTCCTCCAAGATCTCCTCGCGCTTCTTGGTCTTGGGGATGCCCCCGATGAAGAGTCGGCAGTTGTCAACGCTGCAGCAGACGCCCAGTAGGCGGCCAGGACGCACCTCGTAGTTGTTGAGCTCCCGCACGGCCCGCTTGGCATCGGCCTTCTGCGTGTAGGTTACGAAGGCATAGCCGCGGTTCTTCCCGTCAAAGTCCATCATGAGGCGCATCTCGTAGATCCGGCCTACCGTCTCGAACACGGGGACCAGCTCGTCCTCGTACACGTCCCGCGGGATTTTGCCCACAAAAATCTCAGTGCCCCTAGGAGGCGAAGGTCCCTCCCACCCGGGTGGGGGCCCATACTTGCGCTGGCCGTTCTCCTGGACCATATTGTAGCCCGTGCGCTCCATTAGGGCCACCAGGGCACTCTCGTTGGGAGCTCCAGCTACACTTTCTGGCACAGCGACGGGGACAGGGTGGGAGTGGCAGGAGGCCTTGGAACTGGAGGAGCTTGGCTTACTCATTGAGGTGGAATCTTCAGCGGTCATTATGCCCAAACCGCTCGCTGTTTCCTGGGGCCTGAAAGGGAATAAGGAGGAGAGTGATGCCTTCAGAATCCTTGATAGGACACAGCAGAATGAACGTACTCTCCATCATGGACAGGGAAGTGGTGAATCAGCCGTTTACCCTCCTAGTATTTAACACAGTCAGTCTGAAATGGTATTTTAATATAACCATCTCCATTATTAACATTTGATGCCTAAGCAATACAAGTACTACAGTATTATTATAGTAAAAAGTGTCAAATGGTAGAAATTCATATTATTGCAGGATTATTTTTGGCACCAGATTTAGGGGCGTGGCCATATCAGGGGGACAGTCTGGGTCATGTGACTGGGAGGATTACGCTCATTCAGTTCACCTGCTCCTTGTTTGCTTTCAGTATAAATGACAGGTTTTGGTTTTCTCTCGCTCCAGTGATCCTGTCTGGATAGTGAAGCCCGTAATTACGGCTTTTGTTTTTAATACTCCCCCCTCCCGCACAAAGGCCCCCCTGATTTCTGCGTGAAAACCCACCCCTGCCTGCTGAAAAGGGAATGCCCAGCTTGTATGAAATACCCACGGCTCACATGGGCCTGTTTACCGTCCAGACAAAAGCACTGACGTATCTCACGCTCTACCTCGGCAAACACGAAACTGTGTGTCTTTAGCTTTTACTAGATTATGATGTCTGAATGATTAGTGATCATTTTTGTTATAGTTTAACACAGCGTGTGTATTGGAATGCCTTAAGCAACTGAGATCATAAAATGAAATAAAAGAATTAACTCGTTGACATATGGCTATGGTTACTCACTAGGGACCTGAAGGGATTATAGCCCACGGCTGACTGACTTATATTGCTGAAATACATGCACTTTGTGTGAGTGTGTGTGTGTGTGAGCAGGTATACCTTACCTTATGGGGACACAATGTCCCCACAATGTGATGAATACCCCTTTTTTCCCTTATGGGGACCAGGAAACTGAAAACTCAATTTAATAAAAATCTGTGACTGCAATGAAAAAACTAAATGCAAAAACTCTTATATTTTGCTTGATTATTTATGGTTCTGGTTAGGGCTGGGTAGGTTATAATAGGTTAGCATTTTTCCCATAGAAATCAACAGTCCCCATAAAGATATGTTTACCCGACGTGTCTGTGTGTGTGTGTGTGTGTGTGTGTGCGTGAGTTATTTGAAAAATGTGACACAGCCCAGTGGCAGTGTCTATCATCATGCAAACCACACATTTGAGGTTGCTGAGGTTTGGGGGCCCCCTGTTGGCCACAAGCAGTCAGTACAATATAGGGGGCCAAGGGTCCCAAGGCGACTTTTTGAGTGGAGCCCCACCCCTGTTCCTGACCCTCACCATGTCCGTATAATCAATAAATGAGTATGCAAGACCACTTGCAATTCCCACTTCCACCACTAGAGAGCTCTTTTGACCGGAGCGCCACCAAAGTCATTTGATAGAATGCCACATGGCTGAACAAACACGGTGTTGGAAGGGACGTATGCAGAAATTTTACCTATCATAGCCTCTGGTGCAATAAACCAGCAAAAGGTAACTGAAAGCTGGGAACTACCTATAGGCTTCGAGCCTGAACTGAGAAGTGTGGAATACCCAATGTGCTGCTAGGCAACCACGCCATGGCAACATCAAGTGCTTATGACTCGGTGTCCCACGCCAGGGGCCTGTGTTTGCATGACTTCCTTTTAGATAGTTTGGGAGACCAAGAAAAGTCAAATGTCAGCAGGTAGCATTGATGTTATGGTACAGTATCCCTGTAAAGCAGTGTTTCCCAACCCAGGTCCTCGGGGAACCCCGGACGGTCCACATTTCTGCTTCCTCTCAGCTCCTAGCACACCTGTACCAGGTATTCGGTGTTCCTGATTGGCTGGGAGCTGAGAGGGAGCAAAAACGTGGACTGTCCGCGGTTCCCCGAGGACTGGGTTGTGCAACACTGACCTAAAGCACGGTACTTAATCGCTTTATGAAAACATTCTTCTGTTTAAAAGTGAAAAAAAGACAGGAAGCTATGAGCTACATACAAAACTCAAGCACGTTAAGTATAATAACGCAATTATGTGGACACAAGTAACACAATGAATTCCAAGAATAATAGTAGCATACCTATGCACTCCCTCACACCGTTCATCGTGCATTATCACTTTGAGATGACTATACAGCTTGGAAACTATGTAGCAGATTGTGTTTTCCCTCTAAACGTTATTTTGAAACAATACATAGATTGCTTTTTAATGAGTTTGAGGTTATTAATAGCCAGGAATGATGGTTTCAGAAGGAACACTGTACTTCCCCTGAAGACCAGGAAAGGCGCTCACTTTTAAAGGCTTTGGGTTCATCAAAGGTTATTAACAATAAAGATTTTTAACTGTCAAAATTCTAACTTGGCGTATATTAGAGAGGTAAAATAAAATGTATTCTCCTGATAACCTCTTGGAAATTGCCCTCCACTAACCTGCTGGTACAAGCGCATCATTGCGGAACAGGTTTCACTTTCAAAACCGGATTTAGAAAAAAAAATATTAGGCTTTATCTTTGAACGCATTGGTTCGAATCTTTCCAGTCGTTACAACCACAAATCAGGAAATTCCATTCTGTTAACGGAAGGCCTCACTGTAGTTCCTTCAACATTTGTTTTGTAATAATGTTGAAAGAAAACCGATTCATAGCTGAGACTTATGGAGAAACTGGAAATGTGCATCAATTCCGAGCAAAGGCTTAATGATGAAATTCAGCTTCACCTGTTTTAATCCATCGTATAGATATTCATTTCTATATGTATATTTTATCTATCTATCTATCTATCTATCTATCTATCTATCTATCTATCTATCTATCTATCTATCTATCTATCTATCTATCCATCCATCTATCTATCTATCTATCTATCTATCTATCTTTTAATTTTTATTTAATATATAATTATTATATTTACTTTTTTATGTTAATTTTATATCCTTATCTACTGTGATCTGTTTTTGAGTATTTTTTTGTAGCATCTAGAGGACGGAGAGGAATGTCATTGTTCACCGACCGCACATATGACCATACTTGAATTTAAGCTTAAACTGCACAATCGGGGCACGTGGCATTTTGCAGGCAGCCCTTTTTCATGAAGCAGCTTTTGAAGCTGGTGCGTGATGCGGGAGATCATGGCGCTTCATCCCACTTCAGCTCTCGGCGCAGTTTTCTGGAAGTGAAATTCGGGATGTCTGCACTCGGCCGGGTTTGTAGCAAGAAGTGTAACCCTCACACAAAGAGAACTGAAAGTCTCACGCAGAGCCGCCCACCCCACCCCCAGCTGGGAAAATTCCTCCCCGACTGCTGATATGGCGATACGTCGCCGTGCATTATGGGGGATTTAGGGCACAGTGTCAGAATGAAAAATGGAGGGTGTGTCTATTTATCGATCGTGTTTCCAGGAATCTGGATCCTATCCTGCCTTACGGTCTCCCGCACACAACAAACATACCCCTCTGGGGGTGGGCATGACGGATGACGTGGGTGATTTAACAATCGTCGTGCTGCTTGGTATCATCCCCACCTGGTTACCAAGGACCTTCTGGAGAACCTGAGGCCCCGAGTGTATGATCAATGGTGTGTAATGTCATCACCGCTGAGGTGATGCCAGAGACCACAGACAGGAGATGATCTCTCTGTGAAATGATGGTCGCAGGAGGGGCCCATGCACAGCTGCTGATTCAAAAGAGCTCACAGCCAGATCCAAGCAGATCTCAGTCACTGACCGTAACCCAATGTAATCAAGTGCAAGCAGATCTCAGTCACTGACCGTAACCCAATGTGATCAAGTGCAAGCAGATCTCAGTCACTGACCCTGACCTCGTGTGAAGGGGTGTAAAATGTAGCTTTTGAAGTGCGATGTATTCAGCACTAAGGCTTTCAGCAGTATGAGAATATACATTATAGACAGTGTTGTCTCTAAAACACTCTTTATCTGACAGAAAGTACTGCATCAGGAAACAGTGGAACATAGAGAGAACCCCCCCCCCCCCGCCCTCCTCCCCGCCTCCCCCAGCCAAGCTGATATGGAAAGCGCAAGTTTCTCCATGTTCAGAGCAAATAGCCCGAACAAAGGACTACATTCAGCCTTGGGGGGTGTGGGGGGGAGTGGGAGTCGGCAGTGGGGGCAACTAACAGCCCAGGAAACACGGCCAATGTCTCCAGGATGCTGCTCAGGTGGGACGGCGATGCATTCAGTGACAAGACATTTCCACGTGGTGGGAATTTTGACAGGGTTCATGGCTGTTTGTCTTCTTTAAAGAGAGGAAACAATAACAGAAAGGGAATGAAGACTAAGGATCAGTCTGCTGCGGTGGCTACTGTGTGTATCATAGCGTTCTGAGGCCAGCAGGTGGCGTGACAGTTAAGGCCACGGCAATGCAACCTGCAGGTTATTGATCTTCTCTTGGGGAAAGGATTTGAACTGGGCTGCTGCTGGAAAACTGTAAGTCGCTTCCGGTTCAGCCCATGCTTCCCGGACGCCAGCTCATTCGGTAAAAGCGAGGTTGATCGCCAGTAACCTGTTTAAGGTGGCTCAGCCCTCAAGAACCCTTATCTACGAGAGAAGCCAAGTGCCCAGTAAGAGGAAGGAAAAATCAACACGGGCGTACTGATACCAGATCAGTTCCAGAACACTTAGCAGCTCCTTGAGGAAACCTCAGTTCTGCCGGTGTTCCATCGTCACGGTTACAGACCAGCAGCAAGCTGGAAGGAGAAGGTCGCTGAGATATTGCTAAGAAACCGGGGGAGGCGTGGCCAAAAACCTCAAATCGCCACTTTCAGCATTACACACCTACAGTTTCACTCCGTCGTCAGAACAAAGGTCCACATTGTAAAACGACAGGCCTTATCTAGAGCACACACATTAAAATTCTGATTAGCGGGTCGTACTCTACTGCGCTAAAATGCTGATTAGACAGCAAAGGAATCATATATTGAAATGCTGACTGTATTAATGCGATCCGTAACGGCCAAGACTGCAGCCAAGGG